CTTGTATCTCTGTAGCAGGCTGAATCCCCCGCTTAACTGGAAAATCAACTAATATAAATGCATTCGCCTTATTTCATTTAAGGTGATGAATGACTGATAGTAGAATTTTCCCACAGTGATATAAGTAGTGCTGACGTTTCCATTAAATTTCAAATAGCCTTGCTTTCCCAAAAATTGTTCTCATTAAGGGTGGACTGCAGTTTCGAACTCGCATCGGTCTTATCTACACCACCAGTGGGAGTCGAGCCGTGATATTTCAGCATGTTAACTTGACACAATAACTACTTGGCTAAAGTTCCACGAGTTATCTTGGGTCACAGATCATATGTGAATTTCTATGAAGGCCAGGTCAGGCCAGGCTTTACTCATAGCATTATAAGAAAATTCTACTACCAGTCTTTCATCACCTTAAACGAAATAGGATGAATACATCATATTACTGATTTACTGCTAGTCTCGAAACTCTATTTAAGTACGAATAATATAAATGCGTTCTGGGAAAGGAATTAGGAAATGTGGTATAAGCCATGAAGATGAAGCGCAGAGTTGCTTCGCGGAAATAAGAAGCAGAGATGATGACAATGAACAAAGTTAACTAGCTTGCAACGCCTCTCATTAAATAATTTTCAAGGCCTGAGAGTCGATATGAATCCAAATTATTTTGCAGTCTCCCTTGGTTGATAATTGTTGGTTTGACTTCTTTTTCGCAACTTGTTTTGATCAACAGGGAGACCTTATGGAACGTACATTGTCCTGCATCCTCCGCCATAGCATGCATGATTTCCAGCATCAGACCATTTACTTGGTGCTGCTGCTGGAGGTCATAAATACTATGGTAGAGAACGCAGGACTAGATACGTTCCACAAGGTCTCACTGTCGCTTCGATCAAGTTATGAAAACGAGGTCAAACCAACGCAATATAGCTAAAGGAAACTAAGACCAAACAGAAGGCCACGTCACCTTGGTTTTTATATCTGCGATTTAACTAAATTAGCTGATCGCTTGTTTAAAAATGTAATTCTAGATATTCCAATGATTCCCTAGAACGTGAAGACAAACAACCAGTCATATGGTGTTTCTGGACGTCTAAAACACTCAGCACAACGATTTGCTCAAATACAGCATCCTCTCCCTAACTGTTTTAAATCTAAACTAGTTTTATCTCAAGCGGAAAGGAGGTAAGAATAATTAGTACACTGGTGATGCTCTTAACTCAGCCTATATTTGGGCTAAAGTATATCTTATGCGTACCTTCCTAGATTTGGTTAAAAATAAAGGTACCATTGTGAAACGTCTACGTAGTATAGTTAAAAGTGCACTTTCTAAAACCTATCCTTTGGCGAAATTAAATTTACTTTGGAAACAAACCACCTATATATCTTCAAGGATAGTCTGCATATATTCGCTCAGTATCAGCATTTATTAGTTTACATTAATCTTTTGTCACAGCTGGATTGACCATAGTAAGGGAAAGCTCACTAATCGAGTTGTAGGATTCGTGCCAAAATATTTGCGAATTGGTAAGCTTGGGCTCACCAAGATTGCAATTAGAGACTTTAACTAAAATCTGGACTCTGACTATTAACAGAACAAGCGTTTAAGAGCATCACAGAATTAAGTCACGCCTTAACAAAATGGCGGTTGTAACGATAAGTCCTTATTATTTTCTATATTATTATTGAATAGGTCTCTAAAAATACGACTACATCATGAATAAGATCTGTATTCTCTCTAGGTTGCATGAGATGTTAAAGGACTGATTTTTGAACTTCTCCTCGATGATATGAGTAGACATCACGTTATCATAGAATTTCACATAATCCTGCTTCCAAAAAGATGTACTTAATCACGATGGACTGCAGTTTCGAGCTCGCGCTGTCCGAGTTCGATTTCTGCTGGAGGTGATGCTCAGACCAGGGCAGTCAAAATTAGAGTCTGCTTACCTTTTAAGAAGCAAGGCCATTTGAACTTTAATGGAAACGTGAGGCCTACTCTTATCATTTTTGGAAAATTCCATTATCTGTACTTCATCACCTTATATGACCTAGGTTGAATACAGCTCTTATTATTATTGAAGTTGTTTGGCCTTGTTTTGTTAGGAAGACCTGGAGGAACGCATCTAGCCCGGAGTCCATAGTAAGTAGAGTTTCGAGCGTACCAATAAATCAGTAATATGAGAATTATTCATCCTATTTCGTTTACGGTGACGAAGAACTGGTAGTAGAATTTTTCCACAATAATATGAGTAGAGCCTTGCTTTTCCAAAGTTTGTTCTCCTCTAGACTGGACTGCAGTTTCGACTTTGCATAGGTCTTATCAACACCTCCAGCGGGAGTCGAACCGTGACAGTTCAGCAAGCTAGCTTGACACATCCATTCGGCTATATTGCCACTAGTGCATTTGTGTCACAGGGCAGATGTGCATTTTGAGGAAGGCCAGGCTTTTTTCCATATCACATTCTTTACTTTATCGATAATCCCACCAAAGCATGTGTTATGAGAAAAGACTT